CTCACCGCAGGGTGTCCCAGCCCCCCCTCTGGGGCTGAGCCCACTAGCTGCGCCCCTCTGGGGGGCACTTGAGGACACACTACGCCCCCGGGCAGCAGGGGACCCCGTCCCAGGAGCCGCAACCGCCCAGGCGTGCAGCGTTGTCCTGGGCCCGAGAGGGGACCCCAAGACCAGCCCCCCGCGGCCCCCACCTGGGGGTGCTGTGCTCACCTGGAGGCCGGCTGGGCCGTGGGGGAGAGGCGCCTTGACCTCTGCCCCATCAGAAGGCCCTAAGAGCCCACCGCCCCCCTAGGCGAGGCCCCGGGGCTCCCCAGATTCAGGCAGCAGCCCCGGTCTCCTGCCCAGCCCCGTTGAGGGGGGGTCGCCAGTCAGGCCCTGGCCACGGCCTCCACTGCCGCTCTGGCCCTGCCGCACCCCAGCCTTGCTGTGGCCGGCGGGCCCTGCCCTCTGGGTCCTTCCCACTCGCCGACACCCAAGTGTCCCCACAGCACGTGCCCCACCCCAAGGGGTCGGAGACACAGGCCCGCGGTGCCCGACTGTCCAGCTGGGGCCAGACGCCGGCCCCGGGACTTCCTGGCGGGCGTGGAGATGGGGCGTATCGTGGTCAGGGTCCAGGGCACACGGCAGGACCCCAGGGCCACACGGGCAGCGGAGGAATCTGAGCAGGGGCCTGGGGGCCCCTCCCCGGGGTGTCAGGGAGCAGCTGCTCAGCAGGGCCAGTGGGACGGACTGTCCCCTCCCTCAACGGTGCCCTGGCTGGGGCCCAGGCCAGGCTCTGACCCCGTCTGTGCGACCTGCCCTGGCCAGTCCTGGGCTGAATGCGGGCCTGCAGCCTCCCCTGGCCCGGCCACCCTGTCCTCAGGGCGGGCCCCCGCTGCGGGGCCAGAGACCCCCTTTCCTTCCTGCCGGGCAGCCCGGAGCGGCCCCTGTCCCAGCGCCTCTGGCGAGGCCAGCGGGGGCCAGTCTGGAGGGCAGAGCGGAGCAGCGGCCTGGCCTAGGGAGCGGGCGCCCCCTGGCCGGGGAGCGGGGTCTCGTGGCGCCTTGCCTCCCGAGCCGGGGCGCATGCCTCCGGGCCGACTCTCACGTCTCGGGGTGCAGGGTGAGCCTGCCGGCCCACCCACAGCAACCTGTGGGGCTGCGCCCTAGGTGGTGCGGCCCCCGCCGGCCCCCCCAAAGCTGTTTTAAACGGGGCAATGGGGCTCCGCTGGGTCCCGCCTCGGGCTTCTCTGCGCCCCAGGGGAGTGGGGCCAGTCCCGGCTGACTCACTTCCTGCCCCCCAGAGGGAGCCCCGCAGGGTCCTGGGCCAGAGCCAGCGGGCGCAGCCGGTGCCGGAGACGCCGCAGAACCGGTCTGAGCACGCTGCCTCGGCCTCCCCGGCTGCTGCGGCCGTGGGCAGCCACGACGGCCCGAGACACAGACTGACGCCCAGGAACACCCCACGCGCCGTGGGGCCCGGCCACCCCGGCTGTGCCCCCTTGACGCGCCTGCTCTGTGCTGGATGTGGGGCCCGCCAGGGCGCCGTCAATCCAGACAGCTGAGATGCCCGCCGAGGCCCAGGGGCAGTGGTGGCCAGACTGGCCACGCCCGGGCCACGCCCAGCGGGCCTGTGGGGCGGCGCTGGGAGAGCCGAGAAGACGGCGCGCTCCTCAGACCAGTGACCCCGACTCCACTGGGCCATGAGGCCGAGGCCCAGGAGCTCGGGGGGGCTGGCACCCCGGGCAGCCGCTCCAGACTGGCCACTAGGGGCGCAGGCCTCCGCGGGGAGGGGGCGGCCTGGGGGTGGGGAGACCTGCAGGTCCAAGAGGGGGCAATAACCCAACCCGGGGCAGGGCACGGGCGGAGCCCAGCGCTCTCAGCAGGGCGAGGGGGCCGCTGGGGTGGGCCCCGGGGGCAGGAGGGCGCCCAGAGCCGCGTTCCTGGGGCAGGCCTGTGGGCACCCCAGGACTCTGCGGGCCTGGGCGGGAGGGGCCGGAGGGGTGGGCAGTGGGGACGGCCTCCCTGCTGGCTGTGCTCCCCTGGGCTTCCTCCAGCTCAGGGCTTGGACCCCACTTTGTCGCAGTGAGGGAGGCGGTGCACCCCCGAGTGCCCGGGACAACCACCCCTCCCCCGAGCTGAAGGGCGCTTCCTCCTGCGGGAGGCCAGCCTTGGGGCGCTGCGCGGTGGCGTGGGGTCCTGGCCAGGACAGCCAGTGCTTCTCACGCACCTCAGGGTGCACCTGCACCCCACCCCGCCCCGCCTCAGGCCCGCGGGTCCCCAGACCCGAAGGACCAGCGGTCTTGAGCAGGCTCCATGTCCCTGGCACCCGCCAGCAGGGAGGGGGGCTCCTCGGACACCCCAGAGCCTGGGGCCCACCTGGGGCAGGGCCCGCTGAGGAGACCCCAGCTCTCAGGCGGGCGCCTGGGCAAGATGCTGCTTGGCCTGAAGAGTGGGGCGCAGGCAGGCCAACCCAGGGTCCACTCGGGGGCAGCCCCAGGCCTGGAGGCCAGTCTTCGCCGACGGAAGCTGTCTTGGTTCGCTCTGGGGACAGTCAGGAGGACACACTCCCTGGCCGGCTCTCCTGAAACCTGTGGCCGGCTGGGCTGGGGACAGCAAACAGCTCTCCCTGCAGGGAGGCCCCGGGGGGAGCAGATGCGTCTGGCCTCGGGCTGGACGGCCGCTTGGGGGGAAGCAGGGAGGCCTCTAGTGACCGGCGCTGGCGACTGGGTGGCGGGGCCTGCAGCTCTGGGCACCAGGAGGGGGCGTTTGCTGGCTTGCTGGTGGCTAAAAGCGGCCGGCCCTCCTGGCAACCAGAACGGTGTCCCCCACGTCACAGCGCGAGCGCCCGCACACTGCAGCCGGAGCGGAGTGCTGGTGGCACTGGGCTGATGCTGCCGGCCCACCCCGTGCCAGGCCAGGCGCCCGGCCGCAACCCCCCTCCCCCAGGAGGGCAGCCCCAGCCTGCCCTGTCACCTGTTCTGGGGCGAGGCCACCCCACATCTCTGCAGGTGGGCACCGGGCTCTCCCACAGACCAAGAGTTGAGTTTTGATTAAAAAGTGAATAAATACTCCCCGCTGGGCGGGGCCTAGCGGGGTACAGAGGGACTAGCAGGGTGCAGAGGGACCAGTGGGGTGCAGAAAGGTTTCTTTGCACTTGACGGGATCGACTGGCTGATTTCCCTGCGTCTGGCTTCCCTCCCGGCGTCCCAGCCTGGGCTCTCAGCTCATCTCTCTCAAAACAGAAAGCTGGGGCGCCCTGCCAACTCCCCGGGGCCCTGAATTTCTAGCCCAACAGCAAGTTAAGACCAACAGAACCCGCGGAGACGCCCCTGCGAAGATGGCGTCCGCTTCTGAAGGACACCCCGGGGGACCGCCCGCAGGGACCGGCGCGCCCCCCCGCCGGGTTTCCACTTTCAACTAATTTGGGAACAAACGGCCAGCGGGCGCCCGGCGCCGCCCAAGCCCGCCCCACCCGGGCACCAGAGCCCCGCTCCAGGGGCCCCGCGAG